GATGCCTGCCGTTACAGGCATCATCCTAGTATCATCTTTTTCAGCTGGCGGTCAGCATTTATGTAAAAGCAATCTTAGTGGCCAATTAGCTGCTAAATCGTTTTTACAAGCATCGGGAAGGGACACTCCACCCCCCCCTCCTGCTGCCTGCCACAGTTTTCTTGGGCTCTCCTGTCCCACAGAGGAATCCGAGAATGCAGCTGGCAGTTCCGCTGGCTGACTATAGAGCTTATCGGAGACCAGAATGGCTCCAATCATCTCTATGGTCTAAGACAGTGGTCTCCAAAGTGCAGCCCTTTGCTTGCTTTTATCTGGCCCCTGGGGCACTTTTACCTCCCACTAATACAAGACACTATTCCTCCCACTGATACCAACAATTGGGCATAATTCCTCCTACTGACATCAACAACCGGGCACTTTTCCTCCCCTTGACACCAATGATGAAGCACTTTTCCTCCCCTTGACACCAATGATGGGGCACTTTTCCTCCCCGACATCAATAATGGAGCACTATTCCTCCCACTGACACCAACGATGGGGCACTGTTCCTCCCACTGACACCAACCATGGGGCACTATTCCTCCCACTGACACCAACCATGGGGTGCTATTCCTTCCCCTAATACCAAAGATGCATTGTTTACTCCCTCTGATGCCAGGACAATTTATTTTCCTGATGACCACAGTCCGGCCCCCTAAAACCTGAAGGACAGTAAATTGGCCCTTTGTTTAAACAGTTTGGAGACCCCTGGTGTAAGAGACCGGAAGCTATGAGCATTTCATAATTTCCATTTTGCTGGACTTTAACAGCGCCATTTGTAAATTGGGAAAGCATCTGATCACACCGATCTTGGTGAGATCAGATGATGTAAGGGCAGAGGAGATATCTAGAGTCTTATAGACCCTAGATTTATCAAAAAAGAATAGCTGTCAATGCCTATTGCAGTCACATGGGATATATACATTCCCTGTGATGGCACTAAAAGTGATTAAAAAAAAAACAAAAATTAAAGGGACAGTGTAAAAATAATAAAAAAAAAAAAAAACAGCTCACCCTTTCCCCCCCCCCACCTGCGTGCACAAGCATTGACCCTGTGCCACTATGTAAACAGCGGTTGCTCCATGCATGTGAGGTATCTCCACAAACGTCAGATCGAGGGCAGTAATTCTAAATATAAATTTGTGACCTGTAAAGGCTTTTAAAACATCACCTATCGATATTAAAAATGTATGTGCTTTGTCTCCATTGCATGGGCCTGCGCAGTTTTATAGCATGTTATGTTTGGTATCTATTTACTTGGTGTCCCATCATCTTTTATATCTTATCAAACAATTGGGCAATAATATTGTGGTTTTTGTGCATTAAAACTCTAAAAAGTGTTTTTTTCCCAAAAGATTTGCGTTTGAAAAATCACTGCGCAAATACGGTGTGACATAAAAAATGTCAACATCCACCTTTTTATTCTCTAGGGCATCTGCTTTAAAAAATATATATGTTTGGGAGTTCAAAGTAATTTTCTAGCAAAAGAAAAAGTTTTTTCATGTGAACAAAAAGTGTCAGAGAAGGCTTGGTCTTCAAGAGTGGGTGATGTGTGGCATAAGCTTCTAATGTTGGCCCTGAAATGCCAGGATAGTAGAAACAACCCCTCCAAATGACCCCTTCTTGGAAAGTAGACAATCCAAGGTATTTGCTCAGAGGCATGGTGAGTGTTTTGCAGATCTCATTTGTTGCCACATGGAAAATGAAGAAATAAAACTTATTTTTTCTTTTTTTCAAAACCCTGTAATAAAAATTATATTTGTAAAATACTTACGATGCCTCTCATCAAAATCCTTGGGGTGTCTTACTTTCCAAAAAGGGATCATTTTGGTGGGTGTTTGTACTTTCCTGGCATTTTAGGGCCTCCGAAACTGTGATAGGTAGTGGGGAAGTGCTATGAGGAAATATGCCCTTTGAAAGCCTGGAGGTGGTCATTGGATTTTGAGGGCCTGTATGTAGCTAGGCTGCCAAAAAGTCTATCACATGTGGTATCCTCATACTCGGGAGAAGTAGGAGAATGTGTTTTGGGGTTATTATTATTATTATTATTACATCGAGTTTATATAGCGCCAAAGGGTTTGCTCAGCGCTATACAATACAATGTTATTCCACATATACCAATGGCATGCATGAGCAATATATCATTTAAGTGACAACTTTGTGTAAGGAGAAAAAAAAAAACAAAAAACGTAATTTTCGAAAACTTTCTGGCAAAAAATAAAATGTTCTAGGGACTCAACATGCCTCTCTGCAAAATCCTTTGTGGTGTCTACTTTCCAAAAAGGGGTAATTTGTGCTGCCCTGGTGTTTTAGCACCTCAAGAAATGTGATAGGCAGTCAGAAAGTAAAAGCTGTTGAAATTCCAGTGTGTGTGTGTGTGTGTGTGTGTGTGTGTGTATATATGTGTGTATATATGTGTGTATATATATATTATCATCATAGTTTGTAGACGCTATAACTTGCACACAAACCAATTAATATTCTTCTATTGGGATATATATATATATATATATATATATATATATATATATATATATATATAATATATAAAAAAAAATTTTCCCACTTTTGGTTATAAAAAATATCCAATAAACTCAAAGTTAGTCATAAATTTAGGCCAAATTGTGCTACGTCTTTGGTAAAAAAAAAAAAAACCCAATATGTATAATTTTTTTTTTTTTTTTTTTTATGTCCCCCCAGAATTTTCGGTCTTTTTTTTGTTTATAGCACAAAAAGTAAAAACCACAGAGGTGATCAAATACCACCGAAAGAAAGCTCTGTTTATGTGAAAAGAAGGACATTTCGTTTGGGTACACCATTGCACGACTGCGCAATTACCAGTTGAAATAGTGCAGTGCCGAACAGAAAAAATGGCCTGGTCATGAAGGGGGGTAAATCTTGTGGAGGGCAAGTGGTTAAGAGTGCATGTTTTGTTGGTAAACATGATAGGAAATACTCAGCTGGATTTCTCAAACAAAGCAGTGTACTGTCAACTTGGTGTTTTGGTGCGTCTCGTCCACATATGACCATTGCCATAGCAAGGTGAAACAATACACACTGACTCCTTGGCAGTTGTCTATTCATGTATCTCAGCTACCACTGCTAGTTATGTCCAGGGCATCTAAGGATACCAGCAACCCAATAAGTGTTTTGCATAATGCAGCGATGTAATGATCATAGCACAACTATGCCGGTAACACAAACTTTGAAGATAATTCTTACAACTAGAAATGAATTGGTTTGTGGAAGTCTCATACTTAATGACACTTGAAATAGCATTGCCTTTACAGTCTCCAAATTTATTGCCCAATATGTCCCCACATTCCCTCACCAGACTATCAAAATCCTTAACCACAGTCAACCAGTTATATTAGGTACCCATATGACTTCAGAAGATGTCAATAGCTTGATTTTACTTTTACATGATGATTGGCAGCAACAGAACAGCTAAAAAATAACTATGATCTTTATCATTCTCTGTTTAAAAGTAGCACATTACAAATGCACAAGCAAGTTACCAAACCAAAATCTGAAATAGTTATTGACAATGTTACTTGCATGTCATCCAGTTCAACACATTGAAGACAAAATCTTAACTTTGATTTCAGGTTTAATAATGTGGAGAATCCTGTTGTATGTTTGAGTCAATTTAGTCAAAATTATTTAGACATCCCCAACTTTACTAACTTCATTTGGTTCTTATACAACAGGTTAAAAGTCTCTGATTTACACATTTTAAAGTGGTTCTGAAGCCTAAACCTTTTTTTCTGTTAACATGCTATTAAAGCCACAACAGTAAATTCAGTCTGTATATGCAATAAAGCATGCTTGTTATACTCACTGTAAAAATGGAGGGGTTAATCCTCTGCAATATGTAAAAAGGCTGTTTGATCCTATCTTCCCCTTCTGCTGTTCCCAGTCCATCTGCTGATCGTACAGAGCTCTAGGAATCACTCTGCACATGCTCAGTTTTAGTGTGTATTGCTAGAGTTTTTTTTCTTTAGAAGGGTGCATGTGATCAGCACAGGGCAAATCAGGGCTATCCAGACAGAGGGTCAGGGGTTATGCAGCCTCATAGGACGGAGCAGAATGAAAACTCCTCCTATAGCCCGTCTGTAGTAGACCTCTCTGCCCTGACAGGCTTTGCTGAGGCAGCAGGAACCATTGGTGGTTGCCTGACTGAGCCACGCTTTGTCTGTGTATGCAAGCAGCATGGCTTGGGATCAAGCCTGTTGGTGTGCCACTATAGGAAGCGACTTCCTATGGTGGCACACTGAGAAGATGAAGCACCGGTGGGGGACCCCAGAAGAAGATCGGGGCCATTCTGTGCAATTCAATTGCACAAAGCAGGTAAGTATAACCTATATTTCTGTGAATATTTTCATTTCTCCAGGACATGGTATAGATAATAGCAGGGTGGATTTGATTTAAATCAAACTGATTTAAATCACGATTTAAATCACCAGTCAGTAAGGCTTGATTTAAATCCTAGTTTTCTGCATAAAGACTAATTCTTGCTGGTATAACTTTAATATGCAAGTAGATGAAGATTTTTAGAATAACAACTTTCATATTAGTTTTTTAGTTATCCCCAGTTTAATAGGTTAATCATTCAAATTTGGACAACTTTTCTGTTGTACTTGGGAAGGAGAAAAATAATCATTACCTTAACCACTTGCCTACCAGGCACTTATACCCCCTTCCTTACCAGGCCAATTTTCAGCTTTCAGCGCTGCCGCACTTTGACAATTGCGCGGTCATGCAACATTGTACCCATATGAAATTTTGATCATTTTTTTCTCACAAAGAGAGCTTTCTTTTGGTGGTATTTAATCGCCACTGGGTGCTTTACTTTTTGCGCTATAAATTAAAAAAGTGGAAAAAATTTGAAAAAAAAAAAAAAAAATTTTCTTTGTTTCTATTATAAAATTTTTCAAACAGGTAATTTTTCTCCTTCACTGATGTGCGTTGATGAGGCAGCACTGATGGGCACTGATAGGCGGCACTGATGGGCACTGATAGGCAGCACTAAAGGGCACTGATGGGCAGCACTAATGAGGTGTCACGGATAGGCGGCACTAATATGCAGCACTGATAGGCGGCACTGATGATGGGTACTGATACGGCAGTGACTACAACCGCTGGGCACTGACTGGTGGCACTGACTGGCACAACCGCTGGGCACTGACTGGTGGCACTGACTGGGCACTGACTGGTGGCACTGACTGGCACAACCGCTGGGTGGCACTGCTGGGCACTGGTGGCACTGCTGACAGGTGGCACTGCACTGCTGGGCAGCACAGGTGCTGGGTGGGCACTGGTGGCACTGCAGGTGGGTGGCACTTCTGGGCACAGGTGGACTGCTGGGCACAGGTGGGTGGCACTAGTGGGCGCACTGGGCACAGGTGGGCGGAACTGGGGTGGCACTTCTGGGCACAGGTGTGTGACACGCTCTGACAGAGTGGCACAGATCTGACAGCGTGGGAAAGTGCACTGCTGGGCACAGGTGGGTAAAAGGCGGTGGTCCGTAGGACACAGCAATCACGGAGATCGCCGGGTGCGTGCCCCCTGGGGCGCGCAGGAGAGCGCGTTCTGGGGGGACGTCATATGACGTCCACCCAGAACTGGCTGGCCACAGTGTGTAGCCGTCATTCGGCTATCTGCGGTCGGCAGGTAGTTAATAATAACAATTTAAATAGATTTATTCAACTGAAACAATAACATTCCAGCATATGTGATTTGCTTAAACATCCATGTTTGTTAACCAATTTGGCTAAACAAAATATATATATTTTAAGAAACTTAGACTGTCAGCCCCTCCTCCTCACACTTAGTTTCACTTTCTTCTTGTGCAGATCTATTCCACTCCAAACAATCAGAAAAATATGTTTCTATTCTATTCACTGAACTTCTTGAAACTTAGCACTGAAGGGGTTGATTCTGTATTCATAGGTTTGTAGAAGTTAGGATGAAGGTCTTTTTCTTAACTCTGTTCATGTTATAACATTTTTGCTGTGAAGAAGAGGCATGTGATCTCCGCTGAGTCAAATTCAGTTTTGAAAACTGCAAAAGTAAACCAAACATCTGTGATAATATCTTGTAGGCAGAGAAACTGCCCAATAATCTTACAAAAACCTCTGGAAGAGCATGACATTGTGAATGGATTCATGGAATTTATTTACCAAAAAAATTAAACCTATACAGCCTTATTCTACATAATTAAAAAATTAATCTTTATTTCATGATGGAATAACCTTTGGATGGTAATATATTTTTCAAAAAAGCATTTTATTTAAAAAAAATCTGATTTAAGTAAAATAAATCAGATTTCTTTTTTTTTATTTTTTTTAAAAAATCATTGATTTTTATCCACCCTGGATAATAGTATTTAATCACATTCAGTAACATTGAAGATGTATCTCCCCCATCTTCAGAATTACAAATCAAGCCCAGTGGAATGTGAAAAGCTTCTGCTAGCAATGCTAAGTAAATTTGTACAGGTGTGTATGGGTTACTTATGTAGCCTCCCAGCTTTGTTGTTTCAGTTACTTCTGAGACAGGGCAATGTGACTTTATTTCCTCGCTGTGATCATTGGCAGTAGTTGGATGCAGACACTGTTCATGGTTTAGAATGCTCTTTTCATATTACAGATTTAAAAAAGAATTTGGATCATTTCAAATTAGTTATTATCATAGCAATATATACAGTCTTGGTGTTTGGTTCCTCAACAGAGGCCAACAATGACAAATAGCTGACACTGAAGCCATCTATTGGTATGCATGTGGTTGCATAACACACATTAAAGTATAACGAATGGCAATTTCCATTTTAGACCGAGTAAAGAATGGTAATAACCCATTTAAGGATATGTTTTGGGGGGGATTTACCTTCATTTCCTGTCCCAAAGCCAAAACAGGAAGTGAGAGAATCTCTGCAAATTAGTTCTGGTGACCTGGGGGCCCCAGGGAATTCCCTTAGTGTCCTCATTGGAAGATTTCCCTTCTATTACTTTTCTGGGGACAACCCAAAATTTAGGGTTTCTTTTAATTTCTCTTTCAATGATAATGGTAAACAAGACAAATAAGGTGAAAAATTTAAAAATTCCCTTTTGTATGCTAGACACAAATGTCAGGCAGTGTTTTTGCTTTGTTGTCCACTACATTATAAAACCATGCCAGGCTGAACATCATTTCCTCAGGTTAGCATAGGAGTTATTTTCTCCATGTAAGACATGACATGTTGTGAAGAATGTCTCCAGAAATTGGTACAAGTGAACTAAAGTTGAGAATTTTCATTTTGGATAGAGTAAGGGAGGGTAATAATCTGTCAGGGTGTTTTTGTTTTTTTCCCCTATCTGTGGAGAATTTGGGGAGATTTCCTTTTCATTTCTGGTTTCCTTTCACTTCCAAAATGAGAGAATCCGTTGTCACCTGAACAAGCATCCCTATTTGAATATTTTCCCACCATCACTGTTCTGGGGACAACCCAATAAAAACCCGACAGGCGGTTCATTCCTCTCAATTCTATCCAAAACTTAAAAAAAAAACAAAACTCTCAGATTTATGGGCAGCACAGTGGCTAAATGGTTAGCACTTCTGCCTGGCAGTACTAGGGTCGTTGGTTCGAATCCCAACCACGGAACCTCCTGCCTGGAGTTTGCATGTTCTCCCTGTGGCTGCATGGGTTTCCTCCGGGTACTCCGCTTTCCTCCCACACTCCAAAGACATGCTGGTAGGTTAATTTGATCCTGTCTAAATTGGCCCTTGTATATGAATGTGAGTTAGGGACCTTAGATTATACACCCCTTGAGGGTTAGGGACTGATGTGAATGTTCAATATATATGTAAAGCGTTGCGTAAATTGACTGCGCTATATAAGTACCTGAAATAAATAAAATCTCATGCAGACTGTTTTTCTCTCTGGTGTATAAGACTGTGGTTGGAGGCCATAGGCACACTGTCCAGCCCCACTGCTGCCAGCCTGTCAAACTCTGACAGCTGCTGAGGGTGAGTAGTGTACCTTGCCGGTATGTATGTCCAGGACAATATGCACCCAAAGAGAAAATTCTGCATTACGAACAATCGTCCTTGAGTGCATCCTGCTATAAATGGAAGAAACTATGAGGGCATCGTCCAGCCGCAGCAGCCATCAAACTCCTATAGAGTTTGATGGGCTTCAGGCAGCAGGCAGGATGGTGCGCCTGTGCCCTCCAGCTACAGCAAATTGCCGAGGCTTCATGCATCAGGGCTAATGTGCATGCGACCTTATACTTGAAGCATTCTTTGTATTGTTTTCAGGGAACCCATCCTTTTTAAAAATGGGTGTCCAATTTCCTTGCCAGTCCTGTTCACGAAGTGTAGGAAATGGTTGGAGAAACTGCTGTTCTGGGATTCTACAGTATGTGTGGTTAGCCTGGTCACTTAATCTTTCCTAAAGGTGTATGGGGAGGTGTGTTGCAATAATGGGTTCTGTCCATGATTTGAGCCACCCACAGCTCGAACTTTTGTCCATTTCTGTTGAATTCAAGCCATGTAAGGTTAGCATAAGCAGCCTTTCTGAATAAAAAATAGATAAAAATCTCCACCATCTGTAAAGCCTTTGTACGCTATCAGCCAGCCCAATGTATACCCTGTCCCCTATCTTCCTATCACAGTGGGCTATTCTCTGCTGCTGGCAGTATATAGAGCATTAAAACAAATGGATTGGAACACTACACCCTGCCAGGGGCGGACTGACAACTCATGGGGCCCCCGGGCAATAGGCGATCATGGGGCCCCTGTATCCTTGCCCAAACTCAAGCCTATGAAAAAGGTACCAGGCGCATCTCATGGGGCCCCCTACTGACCCCGGGCCCTCGGGTAGTGCCCGAGTCTCCAAATGGTCAGTCCGCCCCTGCACCCTGCGCACTTTGTAAAGGAAAAGAAAGGCATGTTTTGTTTACAGTCGGGCAGGCCATACTGTACTTGTTGCAGCACTGGGTTTTCTAATGAAACTGAAGTTATCCTGTGAATTTGTTTTAAATATCCTTTAGTGTCAGTTTGTCAAATTCCATCTTGGATGAGTGCATTTGATAGTAACTGTGTATAGCCACACATTGCTATGGGAGTAGTAGCTATAGGGAGCTAGGGACAGGTTATGACAGACCTGTGTTGTATAAGCAACTAACCAAGCAAAGGCAACAAGAAACAAACATTGTAAACAATATTGTATTCATGGGAGAGCTGCAAAGCATGTCAAAACAGAAGTCTTGTTTGTAACATTTTTGGAAGGTTATAAACCGCTTAAAATAATGGTAAGAATTAATTATTTGATATGACAGTTTGATAAGTCTGATTTCTTTTCAGCTTGTTTGAAAGGGTTACTTAGTTTACCTTCTTTTGATGATGGTATGCATGCTTTTTAAATTGATCAAAACATGACAAGCGACAGTACTTGGTATTGGAATGGTGTATGTCAGGTTGTGCCTAGCATAGCGTTTTGTGAAATGATGATGAAGGGTATTTCATTTGGGTTTGCTTTCTTCACCATTGTGCCTGCAGAGATAAGAGCACATGGCGTTTCTTTCTGACATGCACAAATATCTGATTGTAAAGTGCAAATATCATTCCACAGTGCAAAAAGATAGTGATTTTCATCTCAGATTTCCATAGCTTAACTGGATTGAGTAGTTCTGCTTTGATATATGAATAAAAGGTATGTTTGCGTGCGTACAGAACATGTATAGCCATTGTTTAATTTGGTTTTGAACAGATTAGGGAACAAAGAAAACAAATGTAATTTCTACAAACTATCACTTTCCTCAGAAACCTGGATTATCTTTTTCTTTTACAGCATTCCAGCTCTCATAAATCCAGAAGAAACAATCTTAAAGGATAAGTTCACCTTTCGTTACACCAATATTCAGAGTGTAACACTGTTACTGTAACACTTACAGTAAATATAGGGAAAAAAAATGGACAATGTTAGAGTGCCGTTTCACTTTAATTTTATCTGCTGCAGTAACACTTACAAGTCTTGTATTCTCCCCAGCCTGTGATTTTACAATGAAAAGAGAATCCGCAGATTTATGAGCCCATCTGTCACTCTGGTCTTTCCTTCTGTCTGCATGCTCCTAATTAGTATGTGAGCACTGCACTGATTGGCTCCTTGTGCTTCTGTTTCTTCTAGTCATAGTTCTGATGTACAGTGGATTATCAGAGGCTGATGCAAAGTTAAATATAGGCCATTGCTTGCATCAAAATAAAAAAAATTATATATTAGTGCAGTTGCTATGAGACCTGTACCTGCTTGCAGTTTAGCTTTAAACAAACATTAAAGCTTCCCTTTTTTTATTTATTTTTAAATTAAAAAAAACCCCAAACATGTCATACATGCCTGCAAGGGTTTCGCACAGAGCAGCCCCGATCCTCCTCCTTTTCAGGTCCCCCACCTTCACTCCAGGCTCCTCCTCCTTCTGTGCGTGCCCCCCATGAAGCCGAGCTGCCCTGTCTGCATCCATTGAAACAGAGCAGGTGGATCAGCCCAGCTTGCTTGGAACAGCATATTTTGTATTTATTTTTGAATTAAAAAAACAAACATGTCATACTTTCATATTTACCTGCAGTGGTTTTGCACAAAGCAGCCCCGATCCTCTTTTCAGGTCACCCACCGACACTCCAGGCTCCTCCTCTCCTGTGCGTGCCCTGTCTGCGTCCATTGAAACAGAGCAGGCGGACCGGCCCCGCTCGCTCGGAACAGCATTTGAGTGACAGCAGTGGGAGCCAATGGATCTCACTGCTATCACTTTGTCTAGGGAGGAAGGAGACTGTGTTGAGGGCCGCTGCTCACTTGCACATCATTGGATCAGGCTCAGATAAGAATAAGGGGGGGGGGGGATGGACAGAAGTTTTTTTATCTTTCTAACGCATAGAATGCATTAAGGTGAAAAACCTTAATGCTTTATAACTACTTTAAAGAATAAGTGCTCTTTCACACAAAGTACACCTAGTCTTTTTGTCTAAAAGTGCGCTTGTTTTAAAGATGGCTGTAGGTGTACAGCAGCCACTTACACTTTTTGCTCTTGATATTTCCAAATTCTCCCAGGCATTACTACATACACCTGTGTGCAATAAAACGCTATATTTGTGTAGGCTTGTTAAACTGTATGTTGCTGATGCATTGTGTGAATATAAGGCAGCACAGTGGCTTAATGGTTAGCACTTCCACCTGGCAGTACTAGGGTTCTTGGTTCGAATCCCAACCACGGCACCACCTACCTGGAGTTTGCATGTTCTCCCTGTGCTTGTGTGGGTTTTCTCCGGGTACTCCGGTTTCCTCCCACACTCCAAAGACTTGCTGGTAGGTTAATTGTCCCTAGTATGCGTATGTATGTTAGCTAGGGACCTTGGATTGTACGCCCCTTGCGGGTTAGGGGACTGATGTGAATGTAAAGCGTTGCGGAAATTGACGGCGCTATATAGGTACCTGAAATAAAAGTAAATGTACCATTAGGCTGTGTGTGCTTTGTGCTTTCATTGACCCCAGAGTCCATGACCATGAGGTGGGATAGGAGCAACTGTAAGTAGAAGAATGTAACACAAAGTAGAAGGGGGGGGTATGTGATGGATGGTGCATAGGCCTGTAAAGCTGAATGCATGCAAGAACCCTTAAGTACTGCTGAGTGGATGAGGTGTTTTCTGAAAAACATTGCTGCTGATGGGGAAGCAAAAAGTGCTTTTCTATTGTACAAGATGTTCAGGCAGGCATGTATCCCCAATTTATACTATATATTTTTGTATGTGTTTTTTGTACTAGGTAAACCCCCTGTACACCAACATTTAATTTAGTGTTGAGGCTTTGGAGAGGTGAGTGAGGATGGTCCTCACCAGGCAAATTCACCCTCCCTGTCTGTCCTGGTGGTTCTCTGCTGCTTTTTAATCAAGCCCAGCAAAACAAGGAATGCTTCTTTCTTCCTGCCCCCCTTCCCAATTTGTCAGTGCTAGAATTTCTGACTTTGGTAAGGCAGTCTTAAGGTTGTGGGTGCTTCTTGTTAAACTATTGGGGTTTCAGTTTTTTGATTTAGGACTTTAAGGGCCCATTCATACCAGCTGCTGTGGTCTGGCCAGATATCAGCACATTACACTGTTCCTTTTTTTTTTTTTTTTTTTTTTTTTTTTTTTTTTACTTTTTAAACAAACTTTGTTGGAATGTTACACACAGACATTTCATAGAGTTTCTGCTGGCTTGTTTTTTCAGAGCCCACCACCACAACGCAGCAGTAGGAACTGGCCATACCGGAGACAAAGCATTTTGCCTTGTCTTGCAGTGGGACTGTTCAGGATTAGCCTCCCAACTCATCCCACCGCTCCTGGTGTGAATGGATCCAGAGGCTACTTTCACGCTGATCTTTGCAAAAATGCATGTGTTTTTACTGTGTGTTTTACAGGTCATGTGACTCAAACGCACTGCACTTTTGATGTGATTTTTGCCATGTTTTCAATGGGGAGGTACGTTTTTATTGTGTGGTGTGTTGGTTTTTTTTTTTTTTAAAACCACACCAAACCTGGACTAAAAATGCAGCAAGCGGGATTTTAAAAAAAATGCACCTGCATTGGCAGTCTGTTGTGCAAGGCTGTCAGTGCAACCCTATGCATACAGTGCGAATGGGCCGTTTTAATAAGCTTTGTAGGGGCAATGATACTATTCACAGGGTAGATGTCAGCAGTTAGGTGGTCACATTCAACTGGACTTTTGGGAATGTTGGAGATATTTTTACCTCTCATTTCATGAAAAATTTCTTGTACAAATAAACCTATTTTATTGCAGATTATATCTGACCTTACCGATGGGCAGCACAAGTACCCTGCATATTACCCTACACATCAGTTTCATTTTAACAGCTGAGGCAAGTGGTGACATTTGGAAACTGAATTGAGGCTTTTGGAATTATAACTTGAAACTGCCCCTTATGTTTACAGTGAATATAATAAGGATTCATTTTATATTTAACTTTAGCAGTAAAATTCATGAACTTGGTTGCTTTGTCTAGATAAAACAAAGCCCTTCCTTGATGTGTTGCCAACAACTGCATATGTCTGCATTGAAGCCAGTTATATTTGCACTCGAGGGGATAATAGCTTTCTGCAGCCTTTTGGCGTTTGTAGCGACAATAAACTGTAACTGAAAATATACAGGCTGGTCCCTTGGCCTCTGTGATGAAGGAAATGCCCAATTATTTGGGTAGGGTCTGACATTTTTAGTGTTCCTTGTGTGTGATTCCAATAACAATAAACATATATTGTGGAATGCTGGATTTTTTTTCTAATTAGGCTGTTTAATTATAATTAATCTTGAAACCATTGTTCATGAGGAATGTTTAGTCGCTAAATATGCACAAGCCAAGCAATTTCATCTTTAGAAATGATTGATATATTTTTAGCTTGGCGTTTTTGAAGCAGTGTAAAGCTTTGTGATATGTTAGATCTCCGTGTGGATGAAATGCTTGTGCAACAACTTTTCACTGTTGAGTTCTAAAGCTCCATCACTTTTTAATGGAAACTGCAAATTCAGTTATTGAAGGGGGTGGTGCTTCATTTCATTCATTGATGCAATAGTATGTCTTCTGGGAACAGTGGAGCTGGGTGTAAAGGCTGGACATAGTTGGGCACTCTTGATGAATGTCTGTTACTGCTCCCTCCATTCTATTAACTCTCACTGCACCCGAAGATTGAGAGGGGCGGGGATCGCAGTTTGAAGATTGCAAGGGATCCAGGAGCCAGTAACACAAGGGATATCATCGATTAAAGTGGTTGTAAAGCCTTAGGGCTTTTTACCTAAATGCATTTTCTCCTAGATTGTAGGCTCTAAAGAGCAGGACCCTCTGTTTCCTCTTGTACCAAATTGTATTGTAATTGTTATGTCTACCTTCATTTTGTAAAGTGCTGCGCAAACTGTTG